TCAATGATCCAGGTAGGAAAATCTAAAAAAAAGTTAAGTCTGGTCCTCTGGACATTCAAAAAGCAAAACAACAAAACAAACACACACAAAATGTAGAAACGTTTCGTCTCTCATCCAAGAGACTTCCTCAGTCTGAGGTGCTGTTTTCAGCTCAGTCTCTTAAATAGCACCTTCTCAGAGTGGATCAACCAGTTTGCTGCTGACAACCATGTGTAAATGTGTGAACCATTTATTACTTCATTTTATGCTTATGTTTAATAAATGTTTTAATGTTAAATGGTTATTGTTGCACCGGGGTCTGAGAGAAATGTAATTTCAATCCTGTGTATGTCCTGTACATGTTGCAGTTTTTGACAATAAAAGTGACTTTGACTTTGAGCAGCACCTCAGACTGAAGAAGCCTTTCGGATGAAAGACGAAACATTTCTACCTTCTTCTTTTTTTTTGTTTGTTTTGGTTTTTTGAATGTCCAGAGGACTAGACTTAACTTTTTAGATGTAAATACTGTAAATAGTTATTCATGAAAAATACACAAATGTGCCAATTTATTTAATTTGAAATTACATAATTTGATAAAATATCTATAATCCACTATCAATTTATAGTGTATGGTTATAAAATGTTAACTTAAATAGTTAAATGTTTTTTGTTTTTACTAGATATTGTAAGTGGACTTGTTTTCCTTGTAATTCAACTGAATCAATCCACAAATAAAAAAAACAGTACAGTATGCTGCTCAAGTGTGTTTTAATTGAAGAATGTTTAAAATAATTCAAAACAAACTATCTACCGGTAAGTACGTAACACTAGAACAATTTACATACATGTGACAAGCTTGGGTATGGATGTTATTTTTATTTTATAAACTTACTGCAACACAACCTTAGGACTTTCACCCAAGGACATCATTTATACACAGAAAAGACACTTGGGTTTGTTTACAAGTAAGCACTGTGGAACGGAACTACACGAGTCTCAACTGTCACCTTCAACCTGGAATATAAATATGAAATTAACAAAAATAAATATGAATAATACTTAAGAATTGCAAAACAAACAAACATGGGGCTCACATTCACATACAAAAATCCAAAAGCCAGTCAGTCTTCTCTCAGGTAAGACACTGACTAATTATGGTGACTCAAGCAGGCTGTGAGAGCGCAGTAAAGCATGGTAGGACAGATACGGTTGTTTTCTTGCCCCACAAGAACAACCAGGAACTGAACAAAAACAACAGCGCAGAGACTGAGCCATTTTCCTCACTGTCTAACACTAGAGCCACAGGAAGTTGTGGCATTTTCTAACAATGTTGTCCAGAACAGCTAGCGCCATTGCAGCCACTCAAAATTCTGCAGGCAGTTGTTTGAACAGCTAAGTTGCAGCCGCGGGTCCTACGCGTCATTTCTTAATTCAAGATATCTAAAAGTGTCATTCTGACTAGTCATAATTACATTCGAGATATCTTGAATTGTAATTACGGATGTTTGACCCTTCAAATGACAAATAAAGTGACGTCATTCAAGATATCTTGAATTACATTTTGACTATAGTCAAAATGTAATTCAAGATATCTTGAATTGTTATTCTGACTAGTCAGAATGTAATTCAAGATATCTTAAATTAGCATTCTGACTAGTCAAAATGTAATTGTGCCTAGTCAAAACTCAATTTAAGATATCTAGAATGTAACTACAGATAGTCAGACTACTCGATTTTATGTTAAAAGGGCTTGCCATAGAACACTTCATATGTTGTTTGCCAACCGACAAAAAAAAAAAAAAAAAAACACAAGAAGAAGAACGAAGCGGCGCGCCGGTCAACGCATGCGCAGTAGATCAGAGTCAGACGCACTAAGAACAGGACTAACAATAAATAACATGAATATAAAAATCAACAAGAAATGGAATTTTAATAAGGCAGACTGGGTACAATTTAGCTATTTGAGTCAAATTAATCTAGAAAAAGTCAACATGACAATGGATATAAATAATATAAATACATATATAAATAAGGTAATACTAGAAGCTGCAAAAAATTCAATAAAGAAAGGCGGAAGACAGAAGGATAAGAAAATTGTACCATGGTGGACAAGTGAATGTAGTGAAATAATAAAGTTAAGAAATAAAGCATTTAAAGTACTTAAAAGGAATTCAATTTATCAGAATCTAATTGATTATAAAAGAAAACAAGCTATGGTAAGGAGAATAATTAAGAACACAAAGAGAGAATATTGGAGAAAATTCTGTAACACAGTGGGAAAAGAAACAAAAATTGAAAAAAATTGGAAAATAATTAAAAGAATGAATGGTATTAAAAAAGAATATGAATATCCAGTATTAAAAATAAGTAACAAAACTATTACAAAAGATGACGAGAAAGCTGAAATATTAGCAGAAACATTTAGTAAAATTCATAGTTCAAGTAACATGAGTGAAGAAGGAAGGAAAGGTCAGGAAGCCACAAAACTAAAATACAAAGATTTACTACAAAATACTGAAGAAACAAATAATTTATTGAATGAACCGTTTACTAAAACAGAACTGAACTATGCACTAAGGAAAACAAAGAATACAGCACCTGGTAAAGATAACATTTGGTACACAATGATAGAACATCTAAGTGAAACATCAAAAGATACAATATTAGAATTTTACAATAAAATCTGTGAGGAAGGGGAGCTGCCAGAGAGCTGGAAGGAGGTGATCATAGTTCCAATAGCCAAACCAGGAAAAGACAATACAAACCCAGAAAATTATAGACCCATTGCTTTAACATCAAATATGTGTAAAATAATGGAAAAAATGATTAATAATAGATTAACTTATTATTTAAATATCAAAGGGTATATATCTAAATATCAGAGTGGGTTTAGAAAAGGGAGGAATACTAATGACCCAACAATTTGCTTAGAGCATGAAATCAGAAAAGCACAAATCAACAAAGAAAGTGTAGTCGCTGTATTTTTTGATCTAGAGAAAGCATATGATATGATGTGGGTAGAAGGATTATTAATTAAATTATGTCAAATGGGGATCAATGGAAAGATGTTGAACTGGGTGCAAAACTTTTTAACAGACAGAACAATAGAAGTGAGAATTGGGCAAGAACTATCAAGAAAATTTACCGTAGAAAATGGGACGCCACAAGGAAGCATATTAAGTCCGTTATTGTTTTCCATAATGATAAATTATATATTTACAGACATTGAGAAAGAAATGGGATGTTCATTATTTGCGGATGATGGAGCCATATGGAAAAGAGGTAGAAATACAGAATTTGTTATAAAAAAAATACAAGATATGATAATTAGAATAGAAAAATGGGCATTTCAATGGGGATTTAAGTTCTCAAAAGAAAAAACAAAAGTTATGGTGTTTACACAGAAAAGAATAAGAGAGGAAATAAAATTAAAATTATATAATCAAGAATTAGAACAAGTAAAAAGTGTAAAGTTTTTAGGAGTATGGTATGATGAAAAAATAATATGGAAAATACATATACAGAAAATTATCGATAAATGTAAGAAAATATTAAACATTATGAGATGTTTGGCTGGCAGTGACTGGGGAGCAGATAGAGGAGCTTTAAAACAAATATATACAGGATTAATCAGATCAAACATTGATTATGGAAGCATCATTTATGGATCAGCAGCAAAAACTCATCTGAAAAAATTAGATACAATACAACATCAGGCGTTAAGAATCTGCACAGGAGCATTCAAAACTACACCAACAACAGCACTAGAAGTAGAAATGGGAGAAATGCCTTTACATCTAAGAAGAACACAACTAGCAATAAATTACTGGATAAATTTACAAAGCAATAACCCGGATCATCCAACACTCGATACACTAAGCCCATGCTGGGAAAAAGAGAAAAAACAAACAAGAAGTTTTGGATGGATCATAAGAAAGAAAACAGAAGAAGTTCAAATACATAATTTAGAAATAAGTCCACATTTACCGCTATCAGTTTTACCACCCTGGATATTACCAACAGCAACAGTAGACATGACACTAATGGAAAGGAAAAAGGACAGGACATACATCATAGATTCACACACAGTACAGACTTATATAAACAATTATTATCAGTACATTCAAATATATACAGATGCATCAAAAACAAATGAAAAAATAGGAATAGCTTTTATAGTACCGGAATTTCAAATAAAAATAGGAAAACGAATCACCAACGACTTATCAGTATATACAGGAGAGATGTTAGCAGTGTTATTAGCAGTGCAGTGGGTGGAGGAAGTAAAACCATTAAAAACAATAATCTGTTCAGATTCAAGTTCCACATTACTCAGTTTAAAGCACAGTCATACAGACAGTAGGCCAGACATTTTATTAGAAATATACCACACATTATTCAGAACACAAAGGATGGGATTAACAGTGACATTTTTATGGGTACCAGCACACATTGGGATTGAAGGAAACGAGATGGCAGATAAGATGGCAAAGAAGGCAACTCAGAATCGCATTGACTTCACAGTAAATATAAGCAAATCCGAGGTAAAAAGTATCATCACACAAAAACTGAAGAAAGAATGGCAGAAAAGATGGGATGAAGAAAGAAAAGGAAGATGGTTTTATAGGATAAAAAGACAGTAGGAGAAACAAGAACTGGAAAAAGGAGCAGAAAGGAAGAAAGATTAATAACAAGATTGAGATTTGGACATACGGGACTTAATTATTCATTATTTCAAATAAAGAAACACAATACAGGAAAATGTGAGCACTGTGGACAAGATGAAACTATTCAACATGTGATACTGGAATGTCAGAAATATGCAGCAGAACGAAGATTTATGAAGAGAGAGTGTGAAAAGATAAAAGAAAAACTTAATATAATAGATGCACTACAACACAACTTGGAGAGCAAACATATACAAATTATAATTAGATATTTTAAGAAAACAAAGTTGATTAATAGAATTTGAGATATATATAGTTTACTCACACATTACACATAGAATTATACCATGATGAACCACACTCCATACCAGTGGTGGCGGTAATGCACACCTACAGTTTTTTGCCAACCGCCATTAAACTCATCAAGAAGAAGAAGAAGAGTCAGACGCACACAGACTAGACTCAGCAGCTGTAGCGATGGCAGACGAGAAACCTAAGGTTAGGAGCGGACTACGGTTTATTGTGTTTGCTGTTTGCACACTCAATGTAGAAGGGATACTATGGAAAACATTATTGGGGCCAGTTCGTCAGAGCTGTTCTATTACAAAGAGTGGTTCAAACGCCTTGCTATCGAGTTAGCCAACTAGCAAGATAGCGGGTAAAATTAGCAGAATAGGCTAGCTGGTGTCCTGAGCCTTTGAATGAAATTTAAAAAAAAAGCGTTGTATTCCGTGTGGACACATTAATTCACATATATCAATACAATGCTTACTAAATGACGATGTGCTTGTAATTCGAAGTGACTGTAATATATGCCTCGGTGTTTTAAGCGACACGATGTAAACCATTAATCAACCGGCCTGTTCGACAGGAGTACGGTCCAATTTTAAACACAACCCTCATTTATGTACGTGAACAGATACAATCTTTTATTTGAAAGCTCAAATCAAACTCCTCTGGATACAGTATTATATCGAAATCTATGTTAACGTGCTAAAATCGTATTTTGTGTGTTGAAGGCCATTGACCGCAGTCGTTAAATGCTAAAGCTAACTCGGGGGTATTATTTCCGCTCTTTTTGAGCAGTTACGGATAAATTTGCGGCTATCACGCCACCCCAAATATATTTTGCTCCAATAGTATTCAGTTTGTAACTATATTTGAGTAGTGGTTGGAGGATTCTTGCAGTTGATCAGGAAGTTTTAAAGGTACTTGTCTTTTCAGGAGGGAGTGAAGACTGAGAACAATGAGCACATCAACCTGAAGGTGGCAGGCCAGGATGGCTCAGTGGTGCAGTTCAAAATCAAAAGGCACACTCCTCTCAACAAACTCATGAAAGCTTATTGTGAACGGCAGGTAAGACCAGTTTTTTAACATGCTGCACTGTTCACTTGTTTGTTCCCTTTAAAACGTTTGGTTTTACATATTTCACTGTTTTCTTCTGTCCTCCTTCTCAGGGACTGTCAATGAGGCAAATACGATTTCGATTTGATGGTCAACCGATCAATGAAACAGACACACCTTCACAGGTAAGAAGTACATTTCAGCTTGCATGCAGTTTGTGTACATTCACTAGCGCTGCACAACATAATTGGTTGCCTTTGTAATATCAGCGAGTGTACGTCAGTACTGCAAAGGACTATTTGGACTGCAAGAAATCATACACCATGATTTCAAGTACAGTGCATTCCTGTTCTGCAGGTTACCTGAAGCATTACTACCTTATCAGCCAACATTAAGGCAAAACACATTTCAAAGATACTAAAAACTTCAAATAGTTCCTGCATTAAATGTTTTTCATGCTGCAGAGTGACACAGGGCAGTAATTTACAGTGAAATTCAGTATGTACCAAGAGTTTAAATTTGACTTTACACAACCTAATAAATGCTTTGAGCAAAATAAGTTTAGCTTTATCTGATTATAGCAAACAAAGACTAAAGTTATGAAACCAGAAGTTGCAACACATACAAAACAAAGCACAACTAGCTTTAAGCATTAACCTTTAATTTAACCATTAAACATATAATGTATTTATGACAACAATGGAGGATTTATTGCAGTTACCTTCGTACTGATGAACATGAGGTACTTCAAGGTCAAGGTGTCTTTATTGTCATCCACACCACATGTGGTGGGACGAAACTATGTACACAGGGTCTCAGTTACATACAACAAAAATACAAATTGTAAAGAAAAACGGTAATAAGATCTAAGATATGAACTAAGAAATATGCTAAACTAAGAATAAACTAATCACTGTTTTATTCAGCTGCTCATGGGGTCAGCTGCCAGCCTTTATCATCTTTTACATTTTTCCAGACTTTGTTTAGGTTTTGGAAATTGAATAAACTGTTCCACTCTTTAAACGCTCAGGGTTGTACATGTCTTAATTATATGTTCCCCGCTGAAAGTTTGACCATTTTTCCTGATGATTTTTCACGAAATCCCTCTGACCACAAAGCGTTGGTAATGCAAAACCCTGACAATGTTGTCTGAAGAAAAGGGGCTGCAGCTCCTGCAGGTAAGGGGCGTTTCACTTCGGGACAAATTGTGATCACTAATAGGTCTGTTGCTGGCAATCCTACTGGGTTGATTGACAGACGGGATCATGTCAATTGATATTGTCATTGCAGAATAGAATTAAACATTAATATCACACTTTACAGGTTTTTATAATATTGTGCTGCCATCACACCCACATTTTATTATTTCTGTGGTTTTCAGACTTAAATTGACCTAGATGGTATGCTGTGAATTTGATGTTATTTGGCAGTTCATATCCCAGCTATAGCCTTTCTGGGTGGAGTTTGCATGTTCTTTCAGTGCATGTGTGGGTTTTCTCCAGGTACTCTGGTTTCCTCCCACAGACCAAAAACATGCATGTTAGGCTGATTAGTAACTTTAAATTGTCCCTAGGTGTGAGTGAGAGAGTGAATGGTTGTTTGTCTCTTATGTGTCCCTGTGATGGACTGGAGACCTGTCCAGGGTGTCCCCTGCCTCTCGCACAGTGACTGCTGGATATGACCCGTAAAGGAAGAAGTGGGTAAAGATGATGGATGGATGGCCATTTCTTTCAGTTGTTCCAGTAATTGGGGTCATAAACACTGTTTTTTATTTCCACACAGTTCTTCACAAAACAACAAATTAACAAAAGATAGTTTATTCTTGCCTTTTAAGGGAGCGTTCATGGTTCACAGGTTTCATTAAGTCAAAACAAACAACTGGGATCATTTTGTGTTTGCATCATGTTTAGAGCCCATTTGTCACAGAATCATGTGATGCGATCCGTTAAGTCACATGTAGTATGATAAGTTTGCTTGGCTAATTTATCATAATGTAATTCCTGTGGTAATAACAACCGCTACAACAGTTTACCTTTTTGGGGCGGGTCACCCTGCTGCCCAATTTGGATTCTAGTTTTGACCCAATTAACCACCAAACACACCATTTTGCTTTCCTGACTGCCTCCATCCTGAAGGGAGGTTTTGCTGTCCTGCTCTGAGAGCTTGATGATGTTTGACAAGTTGTGAGCTCAAACTTCAGAACCCAGTCATTATGCTAAATGCATGTAGCAAGATTGGAAAATTGCAGGTGCATTGTGACCTTATAACACCTGACAGTGTCGCTTATAAAACAAAATCTGTATTGGCAGGTTAGACTTTTTAGAGATCGGTGATCGGCCAGAAAACTGCCAACGGTGCACCCTATTCGAGTCTTCTCACTTAAGAAATGAACAGTAACAGAGCAGCATTTTACATATAAAAAGTGCAAACTGAAAACACTTAACAAAACTCAAATTCAAAATCTTGCGGTCATTTGTTAAGAGTCTAAAGATTATTGGCCAAGAACACTGGCTTGTCCACAGTCTCTGGCTTTAACAGAGACTGGTGGCATGAAACAATGTTGCCACCAAAGCTAAATGCCCTTTCTGAAGGAGCACTCGTGGCTGGAATGCAAAGGTATTTCTTGGCCAGCCTTGCCATTCTTGGAAAATTAGCCTGGTGCAGTCTCCATCAGTCCAATGGGTCAGTTTCTAACAGACAAAGATTTGGCTTCAAAGGCAAAGGAGAGGTTCCTCCAGTGGGCGTCTCCTTCCACTTTAAGGAGAGCTGACACAAAATGGCTACCAGTTTCCGCTGTGGCTTTGACCAGAGAGGGTTTTGCAGTAAAATCATACAACACAGCTTTCTTTTACAGATCAGAGAGCAGGCTTAACCCTTTAAAAAAAATTTTTTTTTAGCACAAATGCACTCTAAAGCTGACCAATGCTTACTTTAACTTTCAACAGAAAACAGCATTTTGCGCATGCGTCTGAATACGGCAACAGTATGAGAAGCCAGCCATAGTTAGCATGTAGCTTCGCTACTTAGCTCTTGAAGAAAACAGACTTTAACACAATTTATGCAGTTTTCAACCAAAAAAAAAACCCTGTAACGGTTAAATCCTACAACTCAGATTTTACATCAGACACAGCATTACTGTGGTTAGCGGGTAGAAGACAGATCTCCGTCATAGGCTAAATGTCTACTGGTTCTACCATGTACCGTATATATCGTGCATTTCTACTGTACAAGTGCTTTTTAAACCTTATATTAATAAAAGTGAGAAAGGAAAGGTCATTGAGGCAATGATCAGCTGAAACTCAAAGTAATAAGCCGATGTGGAGTATGTGATGTTGCAGGTCCAAATCCCAAGACTTGAGCAAGGCCTTTATCCCTCTAGGTACTCTGGGCACCTTAAATGGCAAACCTCTGCTCCACATGTGGACCCACATGGGTGATTGGGTAAAAGCAAAGAATCAGTATCCTTTTGGGATTAACAGAGTATAACAAATGCATGTTCACAATTTTTAACCAGTTTACTAACTTTTGATTTATTTTGTCTTACAGTTAGAAATGGAGGATGAAGATACAATTGATGTGTTCCAACAACAAACTGGAGGAGCTTCTCTTTAAAGACTGTTTTCTGTGAACATCCCTACCTCTTTGTCCCTGAACATCTTTTTAAACCTGACCTTCAAATTATCACGACCAGTGTTGACACCATCCAGTGGATTACTAGTACAAAATGCTGAAAGGCAGCAGGACAGTTGTAGACTTTAAGCACACTCATGTTAACCTGTTGAGCTGTGCAGTGTAGATAACCTTTAAGCTGCAGTGACTTTATTCTGCTAAAGATTTTGAACGTTTAGATTCTTTTGTTTTTCTGAGTTGGAAAAAAATTTCAGTTCTTGTTATACTTTGTCAAGTTTTGATTTGGATGGTATTTTGTCATTTAAGCCTGTGTTTTAAATTTGCTGACATATGTTGTTCAAAATGTATTATTGGAATAAATTGACTTTTTTAAACATTCGTTTTTGTCTTCATTAACATGTCTAATTTTATTTTTAGCTGTTTACATATTTCAGTGCTGCTGCATGATTTTTCCACAAAAGTTTAATGTGAAAGTTTAGTGTTTAAAACAGGTTCTTATTATAGTATAGTATACAAAAACTGCAACACATCCCGATAATGTTTTGTATAATGTACATTTTAGCTTGGAAGTTTGACATGGTTTCATCACAACTTAAAAAATGCAGCAGGTAGAAATCTACCCTCTAAACTGATTTTCTTAAAAAGGGTAAATCGTGTCATATGGACCTGTTTCTTTAAGTGAGAAATGTTTTGTCCCCCATTCAGAGGACTTCCTCAGTCTACAGCCTGCCAACTAAATCTTTTTTCATTCAACCTTTATTTAGACAGGTAATCCCATTGAGCCTCGAGGACTCATTTACAAGAGAGACCTGCTTTCAACAAAGAAAGATGACAACAATGGACAACAACAATAAACAATTATAAAAAGTCATATAGCGAGTGCTAAAATTCATTCATTCATTCAACCATCTGTTCCATAGGTAGCCTTCACATCTGTTTCAAGCCAAACTGTTGTTGGAATCTCTAAAGTAGGCTTTTAATACGTGCAAAACACACCCATCCAAAACGATCATGTACAACAAACGTTTTAAGCCATATCGCCAACTTGCTGCTCACAGAAACAGCCTGAGGACTGGTCCAGATGACCCGATTTAACCGTTTCTGTTGTTACCTACCAGGATGATTGAGCTTACAAACTCCTTTTGCTTTAAAGTTTAATACCAAGTAAGATTAAAACAAATTTTATGTAAATTGATCATTAGGATGAGCTTGGTTAAATTGTGGGGGATTACCAGAAGCGCATCAGCCTTCAAATTAAAAGAAGTATATATATATATATATATATATATATATATATATATATATATATATACACACACACACACACGTTTTTTTATTATTATTTTTGTTATGTCATAAAATGACTTGCATTAGAAAAAATAAATCAGTCATAAATGTTTAATTAGTTGATCTGGTTGAATAAGAGTTCAACGCTGCAGTTTGTCATTTAACATTTTTTGAAAATGCTGCAGGAAGTGACGTATCGGGGTCTTGGCTGCTCAGAGACAGGTGGATGCCGATTTTCAGACGCGCTAGCTGTTTCGCACAATAATGAGGCGGTGAAGTGAGAACAGAGGTAGAGTTCGCGTGTTTTCTGGTAGGTTCATTGATAGAATCCGTTGTTTTGTGTCCAAATGACGACCACCACGACATTTCAGGGGATGGAGCCCGGCGCAAAAAGCAGTTCCAGGTAAGAATGCGTCAGTCTGACTGTTCTGAACCTGTTAGCTGCGATTAAAACAAGTTCAGCATCTTCTCGATTTTACATTACACCACATTAAAAACGTTATATTTTATTAGGTAACTGACAGTGTTTAATTGACCATTTTTAATTAAAACGCAGATAGACTGATACCACGCCTTGTTCTGTATTCCTGCGGAAGCGCTTAGCTAGTTAGCATGAGCTCTTTGGCTAGAAGCTGCTCAGCTAACACTACTGGCACCTCTGCAGACCTTTCGCATTTTCGTTAGATTGGCTGTAAGTTTCTCATAAATAGCTTTATGTGTTTATAGTTCGGCAGATCCATCAGCTGGGTGGGGCCTCCGCAGGTCCACATCTGTTGTCAAGACAACCGCAGATGTTAAAGGCTGCCCTGCGTGCTGCCTGATGGAAACCAGATGTTGGAGCTGGCTTCATCTAAATCTGTCAATTTTTATCAGAAATATAAAACCCGTCATGATCTGTTTATTTTACAGAGGTTTCTGAAAGTTGTGGAACAACAAAAGCTTATAACAGTTTAGTTATTGTAATAATAAGTAGTAGTTATTATGGATGGATGGATGGCTAGTAAAATAAAATATATTAGAGCAATAGGTTTATCATTAAAATATATTAGAGTTATATAGGTTTATCATTAAAACTGCTTAATGCTCTAAAAAAAGACTTATGTTGATTTAAAAATCGTGCATGTGTTATATAAAATATATTTCAGGAAGAGGAGCCTGTTGGTAAGGTAGATCTAAAAGACAAGTCTTTACAACTACTACATTAAGAGCATATTTATTTATTTGTGCTTGTTTAGTTGAGATAATCAACATCCGGTCATTTTAAGGGATGTAAAATTTCATAATGATGATAGACAATTTTATATAACCTTCATCTTTTCTCCCTTTTTTGTTACATCTAATCTGTGCAAACAAAGTTACGCAACCCCCCCCCCCCCAAAAAAAAAAAAAAAAACCCCAATAAAATAAATAAATTACAAAGTGTGATGCCTTTCCCCATGCAACCTGGGCTTAAATCCATAGGCCCACAATTATGAGACTGTAGCAGCCCCAAATAAAACAATGCAAATGCTGTTAAAGATAGATATGTTCCAATTATTTAGCTGATATTGGCCAATTTTGTAAACTGGAAATCGGTCAGGCTTGTACCGTAAACATTTGATCGATTACCAAGTAGGTAAAGGAAAATGCAGCTGTTACTACAACCATTTACTGAAAACGTTGGTTACGTACTGTAACCCCAGATTCTATGAGTCTAGGCGTAGCCCTTTAAGGCTGTCGCTGATGGGTTTATCCCGATATGCGAAGCATTGCACTGAAAAATTTAGTCCACGCCCACCTGCTGTGTGGGCCCCACCCGGTCCGTATAAATTACGTTAAGAGCGGGAAATTGGCACCCAAAATAGCTTTTTCTTCAGCCATTTAGGAGCCAGTGAGGCCCGACGCTTAAAGGGCTACGCCTATACTCATAGAATCTAGGGTTACAGTACGTAACCAACGTTCTATTTCGTATAGGCTTCGCCCTTTAAGGCTGTCGCTGATGGGTTAAGGGCGAAGCGGATGTTGTCCTCGCCTCACTGGGTCCGTTCGAACACCGTATGAAGCAGAAGCTTGCCCAAAAAACGTCTTGTCACTCAGCTCCCCATGTGCGTAATTACGCATTGCGTAATTATGTGTGCCATGCACAGACGCATGTTGTGTAACTATGTGTTCTGACTGCATGAACGCCCCGGAAACTTCAACGGGGAGGGAAAAAAAAAAAATGCTGAAAAGAGCCATGAACCAACCGGTTTACGGCTGAACAGTATGAACAGATTAATAATAACAGGAGAGCTGATTATTAATCAAATGAACTGATTGGTAACAATAGTCATGAACTGATAAGTGACAATAGAACCAAAATAACAATCGCAATTTGTGATTGATAACATCTCACACTGTAATGCATGCAGACAGATTTGAGTAAAACGGAGTTCCATGAAACAACAATATTAATTCTGTAACACTAAAGACAGAATGTGTCATGGAACGAGCCGTCACATCATGTAGATAAAAGCGAATGAATGAGCAGGGTGTTGACCACGCGGCCGCAGTGCAAAATGTCCTACATTGTCATACCATTATGCAAGGCAGTCGAAGATGCGATACCCCTGGTGGAGTGTGCTTTGAGTTTGACAGGAGGCTCTAAATCTGATGCTCTGTAGGCTTCAGAAATGGCCTCACACAACCAGTGTGACAAGCGCTGGGTGGATAACGGGCGACCTGCAGATGCATCTCTATAATGCACAAACAAATGTTGACGCATTGCAGCTGTGAACTGATTCACATAACACGTCAACGCCTGCACCGGACAGAGAAGATGGAAAGATGCTTCTTCTTCTGATCTGTGGGGGGGAGGGAAAAACCCCTCCAACGATATCGCTCTTGATTTAAAAGAGCTCGTGATGTTTTTAGGCATAAAAGCTGGGTTTGGTCTTAAATCAGCTGAGTTGCCGTCAGCCTGAATTCTAAGACATGACGGAGCGACAGAGAAGGCAGATAAATCACTCACTCTCTTAGCGGATGTTAAAGCCATCAGCAGGGCTGTTTAAAGAGACAAGAATTTAAGTGGAACCTGATCCAGAGGCTCAAATGGAGCTTTGATCAGGACCTGCAGGACCAGTGTTGGTCTTGGTCCAGAATTGTGCTGGACGCCAAATTTCTGTCCATCAGCTGTTGTAGAAAGGACAGCATGCCACCTAGTGGACATGAGGTGGCCTCTACACCCTTCTCTGTACACCAGCGCTGAAAAGCTGTCCACTTTGATGTGTACAGCACTGTGGTAGATGCAGCACGTGAAACCTGAATTGTGTGCACTACATCCTGTGGGAGACCCATCCTCTCTAAGTGGATCTGTTCAGCGGCCAGACCCACAGGTGCTGGCCTATTTCTGGGTAACTCCTGGTTGCTCCTCCTGCCTCGAGGAGAGCGTCCTCCCTCCATGGCAGTTTCCACGGGCGCCCCGACAGCAGGTGTTGCAGGACTGGGAACCATGGTGCGCTCACGCGTTTGGGGGCCACCAGGAGAGCTGTCAATCCCTCCTCCTGAACTTGGTTCAGGAACCGTAAAATCAGAGGAGGTGGAGGAAAACGTGTACAGAAACATTTTGGGCCATGGGCTGTGGGCAAACGCATCCACCCCCAGCGGTGGTTCGTCTCGCGGGCTCAGAGAAAACCATAATTGACACTGAGCGTTTTCTCGTGTCGCAAACAGGCCCACAGCTGCTATTTCAATCTGAGTCAAAATGCTCCGTCAGAGGATGATTAAAGGTTGTTCTGTCTCCGACAACTTTGAGACAAGAAGAAAACATGGCTGCAGCATACGATAATCGTGCTGAAAGCCAGATTTCTGTCCATCGACTGCTGCAGAAAAGGACAGCATGTTGTCCAGTGGACATGAAGTGGCCTCTACGCCTTCTCTGTACACCTTTTACAAAACGTTTCATCAGCGGATGATTAAAGCTGTTCTGTCTCGAAAATTTTGTGACAGGAAGAGATGGCCACAGTGAACGTTTTACACGAGCTGAACGCCAGATCTCTGTCCATCAGCTGCTGCAGAAAGGATGGCACACCACCTAGTGAACATGAAATGGCCTCTACACCTTTCTCTGTACAGCAGTGCTGAAAAACTGACCACTTGATGTGAACAGCGCTGTGGTGGTTGCAGCACGTGAATCCTGAATCGTACGCACTACATCTTGAGAGAGATCCATCCTCTCAAAAGGATCCGCACAGCGGCCAGACCACAGGTGCTGGCCTATTCTGATTAACTCCTGATCGCTCCTCCCGCCTGGAGGAGAGCGTCCTCCCTCCACGGCAGGTTCCACGAGCACCCCGATAACAAGTGTCGTAGGCCTGGGAACCATGATGCGTTCACGCACTTGGGACAGAGGAGCTGTCAGTCCCTCCTCTTGAGCTCGGTTCAGAAAACCGTGATATCAGAGGGAGAGAGGGAGGTGAAGAAGCATTACGACCACAGGCTGTGAGCAGACACGTCCACCCCTAGTGGTGGATCGTCCCGTGGCTCCATGATAATTATAGTTGACATTGAGCGTTCTCTTGTGTTGCAACACGTCCACAGCCGCTCGCAGGATTTCTGCCTTGTCTGCGCCATAGCTCTGGGTGGAAGGTCCCAGGTCCCTGTGCCGCAAAGGACCGTCTTTGGACATCACATCCGTCCCCTGTTCACAATACATGAGATGTACCCTACTCCAATGGAGAGCAGATTGGGTGTGCCCCACACAGCATCTGTCTCACAATGTGGCACATGGGTTGAGCGCATACACCTACTGCCAGTTATGTATGCAACAGTCACTTGCTGTCTGTGTGAATCAAAAACCCTGATGATTCCACAGCTCAGAGGCAAAGTGTTGATTCACATTCAAAAACCCCTTGTGACACTCCAAAAACATTTAAATGAGCTGCTGTGTGGAGAACCACAGCGCCCCCACAGCTCGTTAAATGTGTGTGCCTTTGTGAAGTCTGACATGTGTGACGTAGGTCTGCTGACGGAAACGGCTGATATCACTCAACCGGTTCACGTGAGTTGCACTGCTGCCACCTGTCTATACAAACTGCTTAACAGCAGCAGATGTCCAGATAAAGCAGACTTCTCCTCCCTACTCTGTGCGGCGGCTGCAGAGCGGCTCGGGTGCATTAATGGAATGTTGTTTCTCACAGTTCAAAATTGACAAATCTAGAATAAATCTCATCTTTCCGATTCGTTGGGACCAGGGAGTGACAAGAGAGAAACCCTGCGTTTTCCTCTCCTTCTGAGACTCTGGAAATTACATTTAAATCAGAATTTCCTGAGCTTCTGCGAGAGGGTACGAGATCTGTTCTAGAAATGACAGAAAACGTCATTAGAGTTCCTCCGCACCGGGGTTTGAGCTGTACTACAGCGTGAATCCCCGGATGGAAACGGTTC